ATTTAGTTGGAACAAAATCAAATATCATGACCTACTCTTCCTCAACCTTTACTTAGCGTGATGGATGATAAATTGCCTGACCACTGAACATGCCACAGGTATTCGAAGTTTGACAACGCTTTAACAAGTAACACCCAATATGAATCGTACCCACCAAGTGAAATCAAAAGATAGAAGTGAGAAGGTTCGAAGATATATTTAACAGGCTATCAATATATCGAGGATCGTCTGATCTAATCTGGCTAGCGATTGCAGGGGTTGTTGAGCACGGTTTTCCTACTCGTGATCTGGTGAGGATGCATGACCGAGCGCCTTCAGCTAGGTGAGTCTGTAGCGTGGCGCCGAGTCGAAATCGACTATGAACACCACTACAAAGGAACGCGTGCCAGGACATCTATTAAATCCCCCGGAAGCCAAATATCAGAGGGCAGTTAATGGACCAAATCGAAATATATATGCTGGCGATCTCGTGGTATCGAAAGAATGCCGAGACTGTGCCAGGATACAAGCTTGGTTACAGAGCGTAACCGAATTCGCGCGAGGTCACAATCAAAGTGTAAGGATAATGGATGCTTTTTAGCACAGTTAAACAAAATCACATTAAAACAGTCACTGGTAAAATTGGTTATAATAATAATTTTTCCCAATAAACCAATCGTGTTCTCGTGATAACAGTGAGTCACTACAAGTCCATTAAAACTAATGTGGCCAACATCCAATGTCGAAAACGTACAGAGCTATTTATTTTGGGGATTCATTTACCGCTACACCATAAATCTGCCTCATATTCTTCCACCATATTATTCACAACTCTTGAAAAGGCTGAAGTTATTGAAAACTATCTTTTCTCGAGTGATTAGTATGGTAGGAGAGTGTAATTCTTATTCAGGCCTCTCTCATTGTGTCGTCATGGATTTCTCTATGTACTGAAGTTGGTTCTTTCTTTGTCATATATGTATCTTGCATCCAAAGTATATGCTTTTGAAATATCGTGAACAGAATAACAGAGGTCGGTAGAAGACATCAAAGAGATTATGAAACAAAGTCCAGCATAAAAGTGAGAAATTAAAGTCATGAACGACAGCCTCGTCTTCATAAATGTCTAAAGGGTGTGGCGCAAATTCATCGAATAAATATTCCAGTATTGCTCTATTTAGAAAAAAAGGTAAGTCGCTAGTATCTACAAATCATAGGCTAGAGAAGAGGTTCGTTTTCCATTTGACGATGGAAGAGATTGGCGTGAAAGGAATTGATTTGTAAATTGAGAATCAATTTTAATATGGTGTAAAAGCCACATTTAATACATGAAGCGAAGGATTAGTAAGAAAAACGAATTTAATAAGGTCATGATCACCTGACGATATTTATTAAGAGCATTACAGGTGTCAGATTAGCTTACATTATTCGATCAATAGTCATCATTCACTAAAGTATACAACCAAATTTCAATTTTTTGTCTGAACGCAGATGATCCGAAAAATCCAAGTTTATTTGATTGAGTCAAACTAAGTTCCTTTGTAAAGTGTATGAAATCTTTTTAAGCAAACAGTACTAAATTATTTTGAAACACTAACCACTTTTTCAATCCAAGGAGTCTTAGTGTAGAAGAAAAACAAACTGGGTCAGCAAATAACGGGTAAATTTCTGGAAAAAAGTTAGAATATTCTCTATAAAATAGGACGCAAATGTGGTTGCATGGAGTCAAATAATCGTTTTCGTTAGTCAGTCAAAGAATAACGATGATCTACTACCTCACACCGTAACCTTAAACTCGGCCAAACTGGACCTTAATGACAGATCCCGTAGACCAACCAGCAACAAAACTAAATAGCAAAGGTAACCGGAGTTAACTACTCTAGGCTTAATCAAAGAAAATTACGAAATGTGAAACCATGTTCACACAAGTCCAGAATGAAAGTTAAAATACAAATTAGAAAGGGAGAATAAGGGAATAAAAATTCTGTGCAGACTTTCAGTGTTCTTTATCGTCGCTTAATTTGCATGGTCTTGAATTGAAACCAAATCATTTTAAGACTCACCGGCTTAATCCACCATAACCTGATGACCAACTTATCGTTCTTCTTTATTGCACCTAGATAACAGATGGAATCTTATCATAAAAGTAGTTTTTATTTAGATGTAAAAAATAAATCGGTATTATGTCCAAATTTTATTCATTCTCTAAGAAAGTGGCTTACGCTGGGTCACGAAATGTCAGATACTTTAATTTTTCTACTCATTGGGATATATAACAAAAATATATTAATTTACTTATGAAGATAATATCAGTTACGATCAAATGAGTGGGTTGTTTGGAGAACTGCCCATGTTTCAGAAGACTGTCAAATGCCAGCTAGAAGTTGTTGGGACAGAGAGAATGACAGAATTTGACACCGTGTGATCATATATCGACTAACAACAGTTGACAGGTAGCTCAAAATAAATATTAGACAACCAGATATATGAATATTGTCATCAAAAGAGCCAAACAAAAGTCTGAAACATCAATTGTTTATGAATTTGATGAAATTTTGTTGTCTCTTTGAGTCAGTGCTTTCAGTAGTCTAAAACTGACCAGCTATAACGAAATAATAGGTGCTGATCAATCGGAATTTAATGAGGCCAACCAAATTTCAATTGTATCGATGAACTAACCTCGTTGCATTTAGCTTGATAGATAATTTCGTCACAGTTCATAGTTATTTCACTGATTTCAGAGTGTGTTTTACCGGTTTACCAATGGAAGATATACTTAATGATGAGATCCTAGTAGATTCAGTTAGACTGAGACAGTTGGCATCAGGTGGTGTAAGTATATCCATTTTCTTATTTCGATGAACTATATACCAATACAGTTATTTTTCTGTACATATCATTGAAGGACGAGTTTATCTACAACGTCTATAATGTTTAGTAAATGAACTGTGCTCAGCAGCATATGTGATTTTTAGGTTTATTTACTTAAGGAAGGCTGACCTATGAGTGATTCACCACTACACATCGGCATTTTTAGGCTATCACCACTTGTGTTTGACTTTTAAGATAGTGAAAAGCTTATGTAACATACCGACAAAAGAATTGGAGGATATGTTGTTTCCCTGGGCCTAGCAAAATAGGATCTAATGTCACCAGTACTAAGCTTTTGAAGACTTGCACAACCCATGTAGACCCTGCTGAACACTGGTTTAACAAAAAAATACATACATCATTGTTATTTAATTCATTTGAGATTCTCATATAGTTTTAATTCTAATCTTACTAGCTGCTTTTGTTGATAAGCTTAAGTACATCGTATCCTAAACTGAGCTGTCAGCTCACTTCTATTATATTTCCAACAGATTCTTTTGTACACACTATCTTTACCACTCGTATAATAAATACCATACCTTCTTGATAAAAACATACACATGGGAGAGCTGGACACACCAGATTATAGCAATATTAATGCAAAGTTCCCAGTAAGCTGTGCTTATGTATTCTGTGTTTCCCAAGTCAATCGTTGGTTGATAACTAGGTAATAGCGATGTAGAATACAGAATTTACAATTGTCCTAAGATCTAATTAGATCGTGGTGCGTTCAGTTAGATGGATAAAATGCAACATCAGCTTTTGGTGCATATGTATTATTTGTTAACAAAAGATTAAGTCAGCAACTTATTGTGTAACTCCAGCCATTAAAGTTTGCTGAAACTAACGGAAAAAGCATAAAGTAATGTATACCTATATGACTGCTTGTTTCGAGGAGTTACTTGATCCTCCAGTTATATTTTACCATCTAAATGCATAGAAATTAATCAGATAATCTTAAAATACTTGAGTATTCGGTTTAGAAAGTGGTTAAATATCATTGTATTATAATTCTTCAACTGATAATTTCCATTGTCGATATAGTATTTAGTCCGTTTGTTTGACGGCTCTAGTTAGAGTAGCTCTGCTTCAAACCTGTGAAACCTGAACCCTATGAGCTTAGAATATTCGGCGCCTAATTGGTCAATCACAGTTATCCAGACAAAAATATTTAGATTCCGCGACAGTACCATGTGAATCATTTTTAGAGTTACGCTTTCTGTTTAGAGATTGTGATGATCACTCTATTAAAATTATTGTGCTTTAGAATACCCACTTCAGTGATAGGAAAATGTCTTACGAATGCCTTCTTCTCCAATTACTTATCATAACTAAGTGTGAATAAAGTAAATGGAGAGACATTCATTTTACTATAGAGTGGAAGACAGTTGTATTTGACTGGGACTTGTTGGTTTATCGTGAACATCTGAGTGAAGTTTCCAAAGATAATAATACTCAAAGAATGTAGACTTCGCCAGATGTGTTCCAAAAAGAAGACACTAGGCATTCTGCTATGGTTTTCTACTGAATTCTACATTTAACTGTGAGAGACATTTTAATGAAAGAGATGTATTCTGATTGTTCTCATAACTGAGCTATACCTCACAGATACTATTCTTTTCAAATTGTTGGATGGCTATATAGTTGAGGATTTCGTATTGCTTAATTTATATTTTGAAAAATAAAAAAATGGTTCTCTTATGAACTCCACTCGTGAAGTTTAAATTATATTAACTATCGCCAAATCATAGTATGGACGTACAGACGTTTCCCAAGAAGTAAAAACCTGTAAAATAGAAGGAATATAATGATAGATAATATAGTGAAGTTCATACAGAATTTCAATCTAATCGTATTTAATTTTACTTAAAACGAATAAAATATCTTAAATGTTATATTTTGCTGATTACTGTATCTTATTTACTGCAATGTTCTAAGCTTTCCAGACAACTTAAAATATGCAATACCAACCAGACGTTTGATTAAAATACTGACATTAATTTTTGAGCTCTTATGTTTGACTACAATAAAATAATGTTACTTTTCTTTTTAGAGAAAACTAGTAACCCAGTGTTTTCCTTTAAATAAAATGATCATGCAATGAAAAACTATATCAAAGTATACACAATGTAATGATATAAGTATTTATATAATTAAACTTCGAATCCATAGATTGTTCTGATTGTTTGTAAATCATCTCTACTAAGTGAATAAATATGTCGAAATAAACAGGGAAAAGATATTTGATTTCTAATACATTCTGATGAATTTGTATTAGACTGTAATGTTGATAGTTCCAGTTTGTATTTATGTCTTTGCCTTTCGATTGCTAACTGTTTCTCTGATTCCGGTTGAAAATGGAATACCTATAAATTAATTTTTTTTTTGAAAGAAAAATAATACTCAATTAATCAGTAAACAATTCATATGAAATATATGAGACAAATTTATGGCATAAGATGGTATATTTCCAAGATATATATTGCTGTAAAAGGAGGTGAAAATAAATTGACAACGTTGTGAACTTGTAGAAAGTAAGTTGTCTGCATCGTAAGTTTTGTAAAGTGATTCGCTATAATGGTTAAAAAAGTTCGGTAAATAACCACTATTGAAAAAAGGAGATCATGGTATCGATCAGCGATACTGTTATACTTCCTATGTATGTTGGAAATCACTGGTTTAAGACAATAGATATCATGAATGAACACTAATGCAAATGTTTTCAGACTCAATTCTCGTATATTTATTTTACCATTCTACAGCAAAACCATCTCTGACATATATTGATTTTTGTTTTCAATCCTTCGATTTTGTATTGTTGTTTATCCGATTGTTTGTCTATAGATAATAAAAGGCCAAAGATAATAATTTATTACAATGCAAAAAAATGTTTAACTGTTCTGTTTTCTGGCGTGTTATTTATGCTTTAACTCCGGCTTATACGAATGAGAAACTTAATAACTTAGTTGACGGAACTCATCTCCAGTCGAAATGTTATCTTTCAAATGCCTTTGTTTACATCTTCATGTATTACAAAGGTGCGTGTGTGTGTAGTTGTTCGATCCAGTAGCATAACTACTTTATTTATCTCCACCTACCTTCTTGTAGTGTTGCTCCATCTGTAATATTATAGCAATGGCGTAAAACACCACATGAATGTATTTTGCTAAAAATATGAACAAAGCTGATAAATGGGTCCAACGTATTTGTCATTTAAAACAAACTCTAAAGACACATTATTGCTTCTATATGCTAATGCTTTTTATTAAAAAAAACAATTCTAGGACGGTATTTAATTTGTACATCTAATTTTTATACCGTAAAACAAAATACACCTATAACAACTCAGATGGGAAACTTTAGATCGCGTTAACTTTTAATTTACCGGTAGTAATCTGCCAAATTTTGAGGATACAGTTACCTAAATAATATAAACATTTGACTTACATAAGAATACCTTTCAACGGCGTTTTCTTACTAACAAATGTACTTTGTTTAAGTATTAACAGACCATGCTGATACGAAAATCCATTTCCAAGAGGAATTTTCGGAGATTTACATAGAACGCTGAATTTCAAAGTAGGGATAAGACGTTTATCAAATGCTCTTTATTTAATACTACTTTAAAACAATTTGGTTACCAAAAACGTTATATGGGGTCTAAACACCTCAAAAATTCTCTCAGTCAACAAGTTTAAACACTGGGCAAACGCAAACAGATTCTAAGCTATCAAAATACCACACTGTAAGTGAGACATGTAAGCTCGTGTGGCAGTGCAACAGTGAGTAAGTAAATGCTTCACATGACCACGGTCGGCACTCAAAGATCCCTGTTCAGAATCTTCCATTAACCTATACATGCGGATGAGTAGTATACATCGGTATTTAGCTGTAGATAACAAAGTTTTCTGTGAAATGGTAGTCTTCGTTCTTCATAGAGTAGGTTAATCAAGCGTGTGATCACTAACTGAATCAGTCAGCAGACGACAACATGAACTGTGGTTTGATGACATTGAACTATTTGTTGAGATTGTCGATCTGGTCTCTAAATGCAATGATGAACATATAATTAATAAGTCTGATATTAAATGTTTTCTTATTATTTATTGTAACTAACAGTGAGTTTAAAGATATATCAATAACTTGTATTCAATTTTATGTAGTTACTATTCGTTTATGATTTTAGATTATTTAGGGAATCGGGAGGAAGCCATGCTTGAAGTGTGTGATTCCAATTACATTTTTTCTTAGAACATTTCAGCAAAAGCTCCTAACATGATACAGTCAAACTGCTGATAGTTTCAGTCATAGTTACCTGACAAATCTATCATCATTATCATAAATACGGTCCAGTTAAATCTAATCCATAAGTTATAATTAAAATGACTCAAGTATTAATTACTTAATTATCATTATATTAAACATTGGTGATAAATGTTGTGTCCCGATAAGAATAAGGAGTGGTAATTTTTTGAGATCTATTTATGGGCCAATACTGTACGTATATTTTTTTCGTATAATTGTTAATTAACTAAACTATCTATATTCATGTCTCTCTTATCATAAGCTTTATTTTAACCTATGAACTGTTATTATACAATTTTCCATTCTTGAATTATTCCCTGCCTATTAATCACTACCTCCCACATTTGGCCAAAACTTGTACAAATGTCATTTTCTATTTTATGGTACGTTGTGGTCTGTTTGATTGGTATATAAATCAAGTACGTTTGAAATACATGATTCATATCGCAGAGGCTCGGATTGATGTTCTGGACTTAACTGGCTGGGCTAGGCGGGAAGCAGGACCAATCTGAACTCTAGGCTGCTCTACCGGGTTTACGCGTCATTAGTCCGATCGATAATTCACTGCTTTCTAATCAGCGGTTACAAGTTAAAACAATAAACCATTACCACTAATTAAATTTGGATTTCCTTTATTATCAAAACAATAGTTAATCCAAACAGAATATTTTGAAGGAAAAAAAACTAAAAAAAATAATGGTAACTAGGAGAACTTGGTTAAAAGATTATGAAGAATGAGAAATAGACGATTTTTCAACATTCAATTATCAATTTTTTTTTAAAAAAACATCATTATAGTTTAATTTTTGAAAACTCCAAGTTAGATTAGCATAGTTATTTTTCGTTATACACTAATCTGAAGATTGAAATTAGTTATCATTAATAACCGATATCAATTGATGAACTATTGAAAAAACAAACATTAAAAACATTGTAAAGTTGATTTGTTTAAATTCTAAATACAGAATACTTATGAACTCGCATAAAACCTGAATCATAACTTTAGGTTTCATTGTGTAAGCAGTGAATAAACCAGATGTAAATGTAGATTATTTAATCCGGAATAAGTGATTATAAGTAACATTCTTTCATTTAGAATGGGTTCATGTGATTATGCTGTCACTGTATTCAAAAAGCTAGAGGCAATGACAGATGTTGAATCTTCACATAATAAAGCTTAATATCAGTATGGGTTTTTGTGGATATTATAGTAATTTTAACAGTTGAGATAATGTGTCATTTGAAGCTAGACCACCATGGAAACATTGGACACCCGTTTTGTCTTAATATTGGACTCCTCAGCATAGAGCATTCACAATCCCGTTTCGCGAGATTCAAACTCAGGGACTATTGGTCTCGCGCGCGAACGCTTAACCTTTAGACCACTGAGCTGACATCAAACGATATTAATGTCTAACTTCAACTAATCCACATAATTGAGCGCACTGTAGAGGAGTCCCATACTATGATGAAACAGCCGTTCAGTGTTCCCAGGTTTTTCATGGTGGTCCAGCTTCAAGTGACTCATGATCTGAAGCTTAACTTTGAATTAATCGGTCTACATAAATTCAAAAGACGTAACCAATGTAATACATAAATTTACGGATAAAAACCAAAAAAGATTTATTCGGCAATAAGTTCCCTTTTTGACCGATGGAGTCTAATCTGTGTCTGGTATAAACAGGTATCTACCTCAGACAACGGATGAATGGTTACGCAAGATCACAGATCAGTTGAAGTTAGACATTAACATTATTGAATGCCGGTTCAGTTGTCTAAAGGTTGAGCATTCAGAAGCAAGAACGAAAGTCCTGGATTTAAAGTTCCGTATGCAGGATCGTGAATGCGCACCACTGAGTAATCTCATACTAGAACGAAACATCCATTAAGTGCTTTCAGGTTTCCAATGGTGGTCTAACTCAGATCAACTCATGAGTTCAACTATTAAAATCCGTTAAAAAACAAAAAAAATCTAATCGATAATACAATCACAATTTGACTAATTAATAAATTTCAATAGTTAAAATCATGAATCATTTGAAGCTAGACCACCATGAAAAACCTGGAAGTACTGAAAGGCCCTTTCATCCTAGTATAGGACTCCTCAGCAATCAGCATCCACGACCCCGCTCCCTGTTATATCCTAGTGAAGATTAAATTACAGGTAACTCCCGAGAACTATTGATGAACTAACATTCTATAGATGTTGTTATTGTATAATTATTCAATAATTATATTATATATATTTATATTCCCCTTATTATAAGCTTTATTTTGACCTATAATTTATTATTATACGATTTAATGTCCCTAAATTATGCTCAGTTTACTAACTATTACCTACCACGTTCACAGCCACTTTTTGGCTTTATTGTGTACGAATATTATTTCCTATTTCATGGTACGTCGCGGTCTGTTTATTTGACATATAAACACAGTATTTTTGAAATATATGATTCACATATTGCAAGCTGGTATTTGGTCTTCTGGACTCAAGTGAACAGGCTAGGCTGACATAGGACTAAATAAGGATGCTAGACTGTCATTGGTTTGGCACAGTGCGGTGATTGTATAAATCGTATTTTGATTGGTGAATAGATCACATGATAAAAGCCGGACATAAAATCATAACACCCCCCTCGTCGTCGAGATTCGAACCCTAGACCTATCTGTCTCGCGTGCAAGCGCTTAACCATCAATTTCAAATCGTCATTTATACTTACTATTGAATTACTAATTAATTTATCCAATTCTGAAAAGAATTCCATTGATTGTTGATGAATTTTTTCATTGATTCCTGATTCTATTGATTCTATTTTACATATACAATATTCAAAGTAGTGTTTATTTTTGATGAAAATATTATTATCACTGATAAATTGATTTTTATAAATATTATTATTAGTTTTAGACAATTTATTAAATAATCTTCGAAATATTGATTTTAATATTGAATGAGATTTGAATTGTTTCTGTTTCATTTGTACCGTATTATAAGTAGTATCTTTATTTAATTTCATAACAATACAATGTGTATGATAGAATTTATCATTAAGATTTTTATGAATTTTTTTAATATAACATTGAATAAGATCAGAATTTATTAAAGATGTATGAATGATATTGAAATGATCAAATTTATCCGGTATTACTATATAACCAATCCATAATTGTTTAAATGTAATTGGTTGACATAAAATTAATGTAATAGATTCAAATGAATTAGGTAATTCATAATTTCTATTAGCTATAGCAATTAAATAACCCCATCCAATATGATGCCATAAATAATTCAATTAAATTAATATTTGGTATTTGATTATTATTATTACCCATATAACGTACAGATAAATTGACTGGATATTCACAAACAATAACATATGTTGACTGTGATTGATACATTTGTTTTAAACTATGAATATTTGTTTGTAATGGAATTGTAGCTAATGAAGAATAATTCAATTTAGATAATGAATATTTTTGATGTTCTAGATGAATTTGTTGATTTGAAGGTATTAAATTTTGTAAAGAATGATATTTTTTATAAACATTTCCTGTATATAAAGTTTTCGATGTATCACTCGATGAAATTTGTCCATCAACTTGATCATTGATAGGAATATGATTTAATTGACTTTGTGAATAACCTTTATAAGGCATTATATTAGTATATGAAAGATTGTTTACATTGTTTTTAACTAAGTTAGATATATTAGGAATAGAATGATGATGATATGGATTGTGAAATATTGTTATATTTCTATGATTTTCTTTCATTATAAACTCTGTTTTATCAATTGTACATTGTAAATGTGACTGTTTATGATTGACATTGTTGTTACTAATACATTTTGAACTGTTCATTAATTCATTCTGATTAATTGAACTCATAAATTTGTTGTATGTTTTATGTTTTTGTTTTATTGAAAAATCAGGTGATAAGTTTTTTAATAATTGAATCGGGTGTTTCATTTCAATTTGATTATGTGAATTCATGTTTGAGAAATGACATTTATGATTTTAATTTACAGTCATACATTTATACGATACATCATTAATTGAATTTACAAACTTAGGATCTATACATTGAGTGTATTTCTATGTGTTTAAGTGTGTACGTGTGTGTGTGTATGCATGAGTACGTGTGTACGTGTGGACGAGGAAAGGCGAGAAGTTTTACTTTTTGTTCAGAAATGATCATAATCACGTACCACTTTTTTTTATAAACTGATTTTTCTAGTCACTATGGTTTATTACTCTTACTGTATGACAGATACAATTAGATTATTTCATTGATTTTGATTGACATGTAATATATCATGTAAGTATATAAAGGTTTTTTGCAAAAACAAATTAGATAAAGATAAAATACTGCAATCAAAGTCGTCTTAATTCTATTGACATCACAACTATTATCTAATAACTATTGATTTTTGTGAGAAAAAATTACTCAATAGGTTAGTTATTATTTTTTATTATTTACGACCTATCACTTAGTTTTACATATCATTTATTAGCATAGTGATATGATAGTAAGATAACCGGATTATATCACATTTATAATATTAATACTTGATGTATAATAAATACTAAACTTAAGCCATATTATTACATAATACAAAAAATATTAAAGATGTTCTATAGATACATATGTGATAGTAAATTAGTTTTCGTTAGAAATTCGCATTACAATTAGAGAATAGTTATTAACTATGAAGTACTAAACAGCTATTCTGTTCCAGTTAATTTAAGTGTCCTAAAAATTATTTACTTAGAAACGATCTGGGATGAAGACGATTTTCTAAGATTTTGATAAGATGAACTTTTCGATTGGTCAAAGCAATAAAGAGAATGCTAATCATAGATGAACGCTATGATTTAACGTGGTTAAATGATGGCTACGCACGAGGCTATATTATTGACTTAAGCCTTTGAACGATTAGAAATCAAAGATAAGATCACTAGCTGGATGAATTGTGTTTTTTTTTCACGTAACAAAATAACATGCTTATATACGAAATCTTAACAGAAAATAACCATGATAAAATGTCATAAGCAATTGGACAAAATTAGCCTGTAAGTCATGCATTCTTCAATCGATTGAAGCCTGACTGCTAGGCCTAATCTCGGGACATCATATCACGATCAAAACTAGTAATACTGGAGTACTTAATGTTATCTCTCTTTAAAAGAGACCTCTTGATGTCCTTGTGAAATCTTTGATTTGTGAAGTCAATAAAGTTAGGAACAAGATCGTAATTTGTTATTGGTATTTGTGGTGTGTGTGCTACTTATATTGAGATGAGTAATATATGACATTAGTCGTGAACAGAAAGTCTGGCAGTAGAGGGACAAGAGGATCGAACAGTGAAGAATGGAAACAGAATGCAATTTGTATTAAAATGCAGGAACAATGAAGTCTGAGTCATTTTGAGACAATTGATGGACATTTTGCAAATCAAGCATTTACTTTATGATTGTTAGATTTTATTAACAAGTCCTGTAATTTCGTGTTAAATACATTCCATTCTCCCACCCGTGTTCTGTTCACTACATTGCGTAAACCAGTAGTTTCAAGGTATCGCACTACCTGCACAGTACGAACAAGGTAGATTTTAAGGAAGATAAGTCAGTGGTAGATTTAGCAGTAATATAGTTGGTCATTTACTTCCTAAACTGAAGTCAACCATTTAAGGATATCATATGAAGCATCTACCTGGTCAAACTAAATTTTTCTGAATGACGAGTATTAGTCGTCAGAGAAAAAATTCATATTCTTACACTAACTTTCCTAAATTTCTCCAAGTCTCCATTAAAATGAATACGATACCCTTTATCGGAGCCTTAAAAATTATATTTTTCATATAATAAATTTAATGACATGGTTAATATTCATTGTGAACTTGTGAAGAATTGTTGAATGTTTATGAAAAGTTATCCAGGTCCGTTTTATCATAAAACTAATTAAACTAAAGATGTAAAAAATATAACTGCCTTGATGAATTTACGCTGAAATGCTTTTTCTGCTGTAAATATTAACATTTTTCCTTTTTATTGATGATTATCTCGTTTTAATGTTGTAAGTGAAAGTGTGACCAAGTAGCTAACATATCAGGTGTTTTTTTTTATTCTTAAGTGCTGCTTTCTCACATTACCTACATAACCTTAGTAACTATTCAAATATACTCCTTAATCTCGACAAATAATTTTGTATCTTATTATAGTGTTATTCAATGAAAGTCTCAAGTACAATCATTCAGACTAACAACTAGTCAACCAAAGAACATGCCATAATTTTTACGATGACATTATAAGATGAAGCATGTTTTTATGTTGTTATTTCGAACAAAGTCATCTAGTTACCTCAGTGTTTGTTTCATAGTTTGTATAGTATTCATAATATAAGTAAAGAGTTAACATCCGGTTTTTAAAAAAAAGCAAATATATTTATGATATAATTGGAAAATAAAACAGTTAAGTATCAAATAGTGATTAAATTTCATAAGCTGAAATATCACAGTATTAATTTAAATCTATTTAAATCTATTTGTTTATTTACTAAATGTTACACTTCTCAAAATAATAAACCTTTCATTTAGCGCTAATACATAGTAACTAAGCAACAACAAAAAAATAAAAATAAACAGTATACAATTAGATTGTCAAATTTTATATAAAATACTACAGATCTAATTTTAAATAAACAAAATGGATTCATTATATATCTTATAATGATCCAATTAAACTTTACATAGAAACATCTATATTACATATCATTAATGAACCAATGTATCCATGCAAAAAATACAAAAAGTAACATATATATATGTAACAAAATTAAAACAAACAAAATAATGATAATTCAACATTCATGATTATAATCTTCAATATTCAAAACAAAAGTGTGAAACGTTCTAGGAAACAAAATATATATTGGAGAGGAGAAAAGAAAACATAATGAAAACCCCCCTTATTCTATTGAGTTGTACTTTAAGGTTCTGGATCATAGTTATTAAACATATCATAATAAATAAATAAGATTGATATATTACTACTTTTTATGAGCGTCTTTTGTTGTTGTTGTTGGGAAATTCACAACATTTTTGATCTAATCAACAATGGTATCTGTTTAACAAAATGTTTAAGCCAATTGATTGGTTTAAACAAATTATTATAAAATGTGTAGGTAAATAAGTAATGAATGACGATCAAAAACAAGACAATAAACAAATCGGTAGAGAGAAAGATTTTAGGCCAGAAAAAGTTTTGGTATAAAAAACAATACATGCGTATTTGTTTACTATTCTAGAACACGATAGAAGCAAAAGCAAACAAAAATAGTAAAGAGAATTCTTGATGAAACTGTTTTTAATCCCTGAGGTCATTAGAGATTGTTCCTGTCTGTTAGATTATCTTCTTTTCGGCATCAATCTAAATCATTTTTTATAATTGATCAGTCTATAATTTATAATTAGAAATGACCGAAATAAGATATTGACAGCTGTTGTAAGAAAAAAAAGATCAAAAGAGAATGAGTTATTTAATTTAAAGTTCACAATGTAAACATACATATCATACATATGTATTCCTGATAGTAACATTTTGAATTCTATGAGTTTCTGTCAGAATATAATAATTTTGAAAGGATAGAATATTACTGACTATATTTTGTGCTAGTGGCCAATTGTTGAATTTAGAACATGGATTTCGTAATCTAATCAAACTTTAAGTATAAATAATATCAAGACATCTATCAAGTAAGGGCCTGTATATAATCACAGAGTCTAAGCACATTAAGTCTACCACACCTAAGATAACTTTGAAATCATAAAAAAGGTTGTTTAATGAATAGGTTTTGCTGCAGACATAACTATCTGATATGATAAGCCAATCTGAATTGGACCAACGAGAAGTTCAGTCGATGGCAATCAGAAGTGTCCTGAAGGACAAATGCATTTTATTGTCTATGAAGTGGATTAATTCCTAAGGCATAGAGTTGTAAATGTATAAATTTGTGCATTTTATTTGGTAGTCCAACATACATTTTCAACCACTCTTGTCTTCGCGCTCAACTAATCAGTCGGGGGGGGGTTTAGCGGATAACAGGTCGTGCATCAGCATCAGATTTCGGACACCGCCCATCATAATATTATCATAGTTTCGTCAGAAAAATGTTTAATATATCACTGTAAACATTACGATAAAATCAATCTCGGGTGTTGTTATATATAGGAAACGATGGAACAATTAAGTAATAGTTAGCTCGCTTGTGCACTATCACTTAAAAACGATCCAATCCAAAGTACAAGTGAGAAGAAATATATGAAAACATTTCACATTTGAAATGAATATAGTTCATTCATAAGTTTCCTAGTAAGAAATTTAATTTAAATTTTAAGTCAATAAAGGAGCTATGGATGTATAAAATCAAAACGGTAAAACTTTAGGAAACAAAAATAATAATATTTTGTTATTTCATGGATACAATGCAATAAAACAAAATTTTGTTATATATGAAAGAAATACTTACCTTAACTAATATGCCAAGTTGATCTTAATGAGTTAGTATAAGGACGATTATACACATTAGGATGTTTTAAATGTGGTTCATGTAGATTATAATGATTCATTTTTGACGGAACTGTACCAGATGTTGTTGTCATTACTGGGATTGAGGACGATAATAATGAATTGGTCGTTGGTGTTACTGATATTGTTAGTGGTACAGTATAGTCTACTTGTCTTTGGAGGTTTATTGATGGCCGGAACGAATCAGATTTCAATTGATCTAATGTATCTCTGTAATACAAAAGACATTAGCAGAGTATTAAGATCTAATGGATTGTTGTGACAGAAGTCAATCATATGAGGTATACTTTCAAGAACTATATTGACTAGTATTTTTAGATGCGTGGGTATTATTTATCTCTACCTTTACAATAATTTTAAGTCATTATTTTGTACGTATACTTTCCAAAGACGTTCTTTTCATCAGAACAGTTTGTTGGAACAAAACATTACACTAATTTAACATTTTTTAATATGTAATACATCACCACACCACCAGTTTATCCATTTCATATGGAACATTTAGTCAGTTTATACTACTAAAGGATTTCAGTCGTTAATATCAGTTTGTGAGTTACTCATTAAATTATACCTACATATTGTCTCTCAACAAACATCTCAGATGTGGCGATCTTTTTGGAGTACTGGAAATCAATATCATGTACTTTGAAAGAAATTGAATAAAAATGAGTTTTCTCTTCAATGAACTGATAGATCTCCACTTAAATCTAGACAAAAATAAGGATTTCTAGTTATATATATATATATATATATATATATATATATATATATTTAAAATATATCCTGGAGTTCTAGTGAGAAGCAGTGACTAGTGGAGTTCAACTAGGTCTGTTGTGAGATGATAACTCGCTGAAGACATTGGTGGATGTGTCGCTCAATTTTGCAGATTAATTGAAGTTAGACATTAACACTGTCCGATGCCGGCTCAGTGGTCTAATGGTTAAACGCTCGCGCGCGAAACTGGTGGGTCCTGAATTCGAATCCCGCGAGGCGGGGTCGTGGATTCACACTGTTAAGGAGTCCCACAATGGGACGAAGTGGCCGTCCAGTGCTTCTAGGTTTACCATGATGGTCTAGCTTCAATTGACTCATGATCTCAACTATTGAAATTACTAAAATCTCCACAAAACCCCTTATGATAGTAATTCATATATTTTTATATTTCGAATAATCACATCTCTCTGAACGAACCTTATTCAACCATTAACATAAATATATGACTTAAATTATAATGCCAGTTTTGAAATATCAATTTCTGACTTATTATTGTTTTCAAAGTTCATTGAACTAGATACATGAGTCATTTGAACAAAAATGTATAACATTAATATAAACGTTATACAGGTAATGAATCTGATAAAGACAAAATTCATTTTGACCAATACAAAGTTGATTTATCAAATTATATTTTTATATTATTCTAACAATAAATAAGAAGCACATTTTTTTCATATGTGATAACCATGATAAACAGTTTTAAAGGTGTATCAACTTATGATAGATAGTAATGTAGATTATGCGTTATGTATTGTCACATATAACTGTACTGTTATGTTATATAAACTGTATTACAAGGCTAATGCTGAATTGGAATTTCTAAGGGAAAAGGAAAAAAAAAAGAAAATCAAAGAACATTGCTCTGGGGATTGGAAGAAAACGTCGAAGGAATAAATAGCAACTGGAAACAATTGCCCAGAATAGAGTTCAATGGAGAATGATGGTGGGCAACCTATGCTTCTCCACGAAAGGTAACAAGAGTAATTAAGTATGTTATAATTTTTCAGGGAATTTATTTATACTACTTGTTTTTTTTTAGATTTATGATTACTAAATTTACTAAAATTATTAGTAGCTGAAATTCCTTTGATTTTTTACTATTTATTTGTTGATATAACGAAGATTCATGTAGTGCATAATAATGAAAGTAATAGGAACAAAATCATTCACAATGAGTTATTCGAATTGAAAAGATATGTTCTCTTAAATCTAGAGTTAAGTGTCCTCTTATACATTACATTCTTTAACCCTATTTAGTTTCTTATGAATTATATTTACGTTTAGCCTTCCATCGATCATATTATATTAACTCGATTGTTAATTATCTTGTTTTGTCTTTGTTCTTTTGCTAGTCTAAGGTGTTTCAACTTTTACCAATGCTCAATCGCGTCAGGTCCCATATTTTCTCGGACTAAATGTGTAACTGGATAGCATATGATGTGCTTTTAATTGATAATGATATCTTTTAAGTGAAGGTCAATTACTCACTAATGTGGGTAAATTTAAGTTTATCAAACTTTTAGGAATGTCTTTACGGTGATGAAAATTTCTGAACTCTAGTAAGCGGTAAATAAAATCATAACGATCTACTATATTAAATTCAGTTAGTTTTGTTTACTTGAATCTTCCCATTGATGTTTAGTACTGCGATTGATCAGTCTCTTGTTGGCATAAGTGAATCCTGTGTGGATTACCTTGATACTGCCTTAAGTCACAAGCTTTATACTCAAAGATGGATGGTGACTAGCAGTGGAATCCAGGACGTGCGTTCCTTCCTATTTGGGGCTTGTTAGCTGGAGGTACCTGCACCTCAGAGTTGATGTTTGGCGTTTAAAGTGGACGGTACTGGATTCGAGTACCAGAGTGAACATCAACTCTGAGATGCACTATATTCAGCTGACCAGTCCCAAATAGAACGAAACGTGCGTCCTAGATCCCATTGCTAGTCACCATCCATCTTTGTTTATACATTTACTATATTCTTTGTTTAATGTTCGGTCATATGCAATCTTTAATTTACATCTCTATAAACGTCCATGGTGAACATAATAATGTCTCTTTATCAAGAGACTGCATATAGAATGTATCTTTGAATAATATCGAAAATTTTCCCACAGAAAAAGAAAACTAAGATCACATTTAAAAGATCCTGAAATATTGCTTTTTTCACTGCATTTTTGAAGATCCGTTACGTTTTGCAATTTGGTAGGATTTAGCGTAGCGGACTACAAATATCTTCACGTTTGAACACTGTTCGACTTCTGTAAATTTTTTTCCGACATTATTATTTTCTTATCCTTAACTGTTGACAAGTAATTTTTGAAACTGTGAATACAAATTTTATTTTTTTTCCACAACACAATTCATATTTCGATAGTATAATAAAAAGACGAAGATTATCAGAACTATGTGATATGTTAGTGCAATACATTACGAACAAGCTGATCACACATATACTTGTTGAGGAAAAACCAGGTCTGTTTTGAGATATCAACTCATTGAAGACAATGGTGTACGGTGGCTCAACGTCGTGGATTGGTTGAAGTTAGGCATTAACACCGTTGGATGCCGGCTCAGTAGTCTAGTTGGTTAATCGCTAGCGCGCAAGACTGATAAGTCCTGGGTTCAAATCTCGAGGGGGGCGGGATCAAGGATACGCACTGCTGAGGAGTCCCACACTAGGACGGAAAAGTCGTCCAGTGCTTCAAGGTTTACGATGGTTGTCTAGCTTCAGTTGACTCATGATTTCAACTTGTGAAATTTATATATATAAAAGATCAACTAGACTGGAAACGGTGTAAGAGGAGACACGGATAATAATACGAGTAATAATAATCATAATGTGACAAAATTTGAAACCTATTCACTCTGGATAATAAGCCAATAATACCAATGTTACATTATCAAAATTCATCAAAGGAATTAATTTCTCTACAATTCATATTCACCAGTTCAAATCAAAACATGAATAGATAAATTAGATTTATTCAACGTACCTTGCTTTTTGCAATCTAAGCATAACAGATTTATCATATAACTCGTTTGAATAAGACTCTCTATTAAATGACTGTAGTAATAAAAAAATAAAAACAAAAATAAGATTTTTCGAAATGCATCAAGTTTCCATTAGAATAGTCATATTTTATCCAAATCATTGACAAGTATATGAGACAGCGGCTTTATTCAAAATACATGGTTGGAACTGTGATTGATAATATGCATTTCGTCCTATTTAGAATTTATCAATTGAATTTGCCTCCTGATTAAAATTCATTTAGGGAAAAATTATCAACAACTCAAATGATTCAAACTTAGACACAAATTATTCCAGCTAGATTGAGTGAGACTATAATTTATGAACTGTTGGGGTGATCCAGAAAATTGCTTGCAAAAGACAAGCAAGCATCAGGAATCACTAAGAAGCGTTTCGTTCAATCAGCGTTCACTTGAAGTTTTTGCCAAAAATATCAAGGAAGCGAAACGTCACATGTAGATGTTCTGATTGGCTGGTTGCTACACTGCTACTATGTTTAATAGCATTCCAGAATCTTCTAGCAACCCAAGGACATTTAAAATATTATAAAAACCCTGTATTTTCTGTATTAAAACGAACCTTGGAATAAGCTACTTCTCACATACTTTGAGCCTTCTCTCGTGTTCAGGTCGCTGTATAGTTCTAGCTTGAGGGTTACAGAATAGCTTAGGAGACGAATATAGCGTTCAATCCACAAGACTTATCATGAACAACCTTTGCGTGACGTCAAAATAACCCTGAGAATGTTCACCTAATAACAAGGATTAAATGAGGTTTATAAACCAGTGTGAGGAAATAGAAATGTGATTGACAGTTGATGGTTAAGATTAGGAATTAGATCTAGGGTTTTCATCGCGAAGTGACATCAACTATAATGCCGAAACTATTTAACCAAATGGATGAATGAATTTCGCGCCCAAATCTGAGACCTGTTATCTCACATATGATTGGTTTGTCCATAAATTATAGTTTCGCCATGGATTATTTTACTTAGCCGAAAAATACTGAAATGTATATAAAAAGTAACAAAAGAAGATAATCTAGTCAAATACACGGTTAGAGTGTTTTGTTCGCATATGTGGATCTAGGAGGATTTTCTCGATATTGCCTCAAGTCACAAGCATTCTAAGTTAAGATGGATGGTGGACGAAATGCGCGTCTTGGATACCACTGTTAGCCACCACCCGTCTAAAAGTAGAGTGGTTTTCAGTTTCTGGATGATGATTTTTTTTGTCCATGTCTAATTAGTCACATAATGGACTACTGATTTTTAAATATTAATGAACCAATGTAAGTCAAATAGCTATTTTACTTCAGTTTGCCAATTGTTGCTAGTCCACTTCAAAAGGACATCTAAATAATTTATTAATTATATCTACATGAATAAATAGCATTTTCATGAATTTCCTGAAATTCTAACAAGAACCTATGACTAAAAGAGTCAAGCAGTTCTATATTGTGACATTAATCTGTTGACGGTAGTGAATAAAAATTGTGACAGTTCACAAATGCTTTAAAAGTGAGAACATAAGCACCTGGATTTCGTGACCTGAATTTGCCATATTCCATTCAATGTATGTTGGTCTGTAGGAACGCTGAGGAATATTGAACTAGGACGAAACGACTATTTAGTTCGCCTTATTTTCCTATGGCTCCTCAAATAACATCATTTCCTGATTAAAAAATCACTATTATACACCTTTATTTTACTCGAATTTTTCCTTAGCTCATTGGTTTATTACAACAACAATTAAAAAAATACTCATTTTACCTCATGAGAATCACTATTCGGTAATTGATTCATTGAACTGAAATTAACCGGTTCCATAAGACCCATTTGAAATTGTCTTAATAATGACTGTACAGAAGAGGCAGCATCTCGTGCTTTTTCTTCAATACGACAAACACTGTTTGCTAAATCTGCATAATCTGAACGTAATTTTTCGAGTAATAAATTTGTTGAATTATTTCTAGAATTAAATGGTTTTCGTTGATTTGAACAATGATTATATGGTGAATGCTGATTATAATTTCGGTCATAATGATCAGTGATATGATTGACATCATGATGACACTGCAAATGATGTTGATTATGGTAATGCCTATATTTAGTTGGTGTATAAGTAGGCAAATTGAATGAATCATCTTTAATCACTGGTTTGTATAAATTTGTTATATAACTTTTTCTATTATGATCGTCATCAATATCGTGATTATTTGTTAATAAAGTTGACGGTGTTTGTGCAAAGTTTCGTGTACTTTCACGAATTATTGAGGCTTGTTTTTGTTGCTATGTAAAATTGTATTCAGAGTAAAATAAACAATTCAAAATAAAATACATAAAGATCTTTTAGAAAGAGTTATTATAGCCTACTTAAATCAATTAGTATTGACGGGTTTGGGAAACTATAATCTGAACTAAATATGCTGGTATCCTGATTAGTTTACGTTTCTGTATACCGTAAGTTACCCTATGGTAGTTCATCATTAGTGTTATGATTCAGCATAGAGTTTACTTGAACTAGGAAACAAGTTATTATTGATAGACGAATTTGTATTCTACCATTACTATTCAATAATTTTAAATAGTCTTCTTCTTTTCTAGTCTAAGTGTTTCAGGAATTCGTTAAAGATAACTCATTGGTCGAATTATAATTGCTTTTATCTAGGATATAGTACTTTGGTTCTGGTTGGTAAAATTTTAAACTAATCGATATCGTTAACAATATATTTCTTAACATTATTTCTTTAACATTATTTTCACTTACCTTATTCAACAAACCATTAACCATTTCATGAGCTTTATTCAAAGCATGTTCTCTATTTTCTTGTAACTTTTGTATATCATGTAATCTTTGACGTAATATTCTATTGGCTGATGTTAGAGCATCAACTCTTGGATCACCTGATATTGGATTATTTAAACCTTGTTCATATTTATCTCTAAAAATTAAACAAAACATAAAGATTTAAAGTATGTAATTAGTGGAAATAGATTATTTTGTTATGATAGACTAAATATAATTTCACTAAGAAAATGTGACATGTATAGTCGAAAACAGTACAACACCCAAATAGCATCAAAATAGAACTCTCAAGGGTAGTAATCACTTGTTATCAATTAACAAACTTCTTACATATACTAATCAAAAGTACCTAGAAATAAGATAAAAACAATAACATAAATAAGGTGAATAATTATTTTTACATAACGGACTGATCTTAGTTGGGAAATCATTGAAAACAAGGAGGCATTGGACAAGCATTATATCATAGTATGAGACACCTTAGTGATGAGGATTCACAATCCCGATAGCGATCCAGACCAGGACCTAAATCTATCCTTGTAAGTGCTTAACCTCGAGACTACACTTTTATTTTTAATTAAATCGTGATTTTGAGCAATTATCTTCCCATTCTTTTGAAGGATAACTATCTCACACTCGATCATATCACCGGAAGTTTTTCGAAGTTTATTTATCAGGATTTGTAGATCACGTTTTTGAATAAATGAAAATGTCACCACTTTTGCCTGTTAAACATTTTACTGAATTCGCCAATATGTCATATCAGTAACGTTAAAATGTATTCAATAATAAGTGACCTGATCCTGTTACCTTAATTATAATAATTAGACTTGATTTCTCCACATATAAAGAAAACTATTACATATATGTCACTGAAATTGCTTTATCATAAGTCAACTAATCATATCATTAATTAATTAAAATATTGACTGTTAACTATCTATTTTAAAAACAACAACTATGGAATTTATTTTCATAAATATACCTTTCAATTGAACCTAGTTCCCTTTCAATTGAATGACATCGTCTCCTTAATCTATCCAATGATCCAGAATATAAGTCTGAATTTCGATAAAATGAAGAATTCGGATGAATAGTATGTAAATTATTTCGACGTGAACTAAATATAGATTTCAAGAGAAAAGTACATGAAATTTTATTCAACTTCGTCAAGTAATTGTATATCTTTGATAAAAATCAATAAGAAGGGAATATGTTTGTGAAATAAACAGTTACACAAAGAATTTGCTAAGAAAATAATGAATAGTAATATTAATTTCTTTTAAAAGTCATAATTTGTTTGCATCAACCAATTACACTACTTAAATTATAACATAATACTGTGTTGTGTGTTACTTATATTGACATAAGAAGTAGATGATGTTAGTCGTGAACAGAAGGTCTGGCAGCAGAGAGACAAGAGGATCGAACAGTGAAGAATGGAAACAATGCAATTTATATGAAAATGCAAGAACAATGAAGTCTGAGTCATTTAAGACAATTGATGGACATTTTGCAAATTAAGCATTTACTTTATGATTGTTAGATTTTATTAACAAGTCCTGTAATTTTGTGTTACATATATTCGATTGTCCCCACTGGTGTTCTTGATACCTGGTATCTGTAAGCCATAACATATTCTAAAACGGTTAATTCTGATTTACGTTTGCATATTAACATTAGAGATGATTTAAGCATTAATAAATGGTCACTTTTAGTCACCAAACAAAGAACGAAACGATCAGTCGGCAATGAGCGAATAACTATTAATAAAAGCATTCTTTAAAAATGCAAGACAGTTTCTCACTACATAACAAAATTCAATTCGGGAATTTTCGGAGTGAAACAATAACTACTCATTTATAGTATAGGTCGATTATATAAATTTCACAGACTATTTTACGAAGTTTTAGATAGATAATGATTTGAATTCAAATTTAATTATTCTTCATAACTGGGCACATAACACAACAGAGACTTATTTACAATAATTTGCTTACATTTTATTTAAGTAGTACATCTGAAAGAGTACTAATAAATAAAAACATGACTGTAAGATACAATCTTGAAAACGTTTACTTGAAGGTAATAAGCTATTTTGTAGTTTACATTAGGGACTGACTTTAACTTGACAACCACTGTAAACCAAGAAGGAACTAGATAGCTATGACTCTGTTGTGAAACACAGCATGAAAAGGAAACATCTGTGCAGTATTGTTTGCATTGTGGTTACAACCATACATGCCCAAAACTATTTGCAAACCTTCAATGTTAATGATTCATTTCATTGTTGAAAATTATAGACGAAAAATTACAATGAACAATTGTTGAGTACTTACTGAATACTCTTGTTGTGTAGTCCATTTTCATTTGAATGGTTTTCAGTTTGCAGCTCTGTTGAGTGAAATGGTTTAGGTAGATTATCTGCATACTCAGAATTAATATATGTAGGTGAATCTGCATGTTGTTTATTTATCTGTAATTAATATATATTTAATTACAATGAAACTATTAAGAAAGTAGCAAAGAAAATTATTTACTTCTTGTTGCTATAAAAGAATAATGTAGGTACTTTGAGTTATATCTAGAACTTATATTCTTAATAAACAGCATATAACGCTAAAATCCACTAAGTCGCAAATGAGAAGACAAAAGAGAAATGAAAGGAATCCTATTCCAAACAGTGTCACTTATGATACAAAACTATCAAGCATTTATAGTTTTTAGTAAAAACGAAATCATCATTATAGTCCTCCGATCCACATACAGGGAGTTATAAGCATTTGTCCAATAAGGAAGCTACTTGTCGAGATTCTAGAGATGATTCGATGAAATATCTTCGGCTCTTTTTGAGCTTCTTAGAACTTCCTCGACTTCACCCGTGGGCCGTTTTCACATTTTGACGCCATGAACAATAACAGATTTCAAGTAAACAATTTTGTCTATAACTAATAGCAACAGTTTATGAACTAACATTATCTAAAGACCAGTAAAAAAGAAGAAATGATCAAAAACAGATCATAAGCTTAGCAAATGATCGCTTAATGGGAGAATGAATTAACTATTTCAAGTTATTTCCACGAAGAGGACATTATCCCTGGATATGCTCAAAAACTATGCAGGGATTTCAATTTGTCATGTAATTGGTCGGAATAAAACTTCAAAACTGAAGTTGAAATTACTAATGTTCAAAATTCAAAGTTTGAATTAGTAAGTTAGCTGTAAGAACATATATATGTATATATAAAATTGAATATAGTTACAATGGTGTAGATCCCATAAAATCAACTTGTGGGTAAATATTTTGTTTACATAGATGACTTAATATTGCCGATGAATGAATAACGACGATTGAAAATGGTGGAAGTTGGTAAGCTCCTGGAAGTGTTGTGCTTTTTTTATAAATGAAGTGCACTGAACTGATGTCTGAGTTTTTCTCGGAATTCTGAAGTTTACACGGAGAATTCCATCTTGCAAAACTATTTACAGAGTTTCTTTGGTGAGATAAATATTGATTGTGAAACGAAAATCAAGTTCTCAATAACATAGCAAGTTTCAACATAATGTACTATCATCCATACGGCTAGTCTTAAGTAGAATAAAAGGCACATCTTAAACGTAATTTTCAAGCAATATTAGAAAATTCTATTTCATTGAGTTTATCAATATATGTTAATATACGATTATCCCGGTTAGTATATGTAAATGAAGTAATCCCATACGATAATGACAATAATTCAACAAATGATGTCAAAAAAGGTAATTTATTCTGTATAATCAAGTTATGATATGATTAGATGATAAATCAAATTAAATTTTGTTTTAAGAGGAAAAGGATAACCAGATTGTCAAGACGGGCATTTATAATTTACAAATAGAAATAATGGGTACTGCTGGTTGTTACACATGTAAATGAAAATAACTTCAACCAAATAACAACACGTGACATTGTGAGAGTTTGTGAAGGTTAACATGGAGTAACAATTACAAATATTAGAATTGAGGTGGTCTGTTTCATATAGAACACTCCGTTCATTTCGAAGAAAAGCATCACCGATGAAACTTATCCATCATGAAACTTCGGTCTAGACTTTCTGATGACTAACTTCAACTATTTAATATTAATTAAACTAATAAGTACATTGTAGCATGATCGATAGAGCCTGGTAAACATTAAGAAATGTCTAATATGACATTTTTCACTAAATATAAGCTATTCGATTAAAATTGTAACCCATTACCCAAAAAAAGATGTCAATTTTCAATTATAACAAAAAATTGTATAACGTACAGGAAAATATTCTGAATGAAGATTTGTACAATGTTGATTGTAATCTGGTTTATCATTGAAATCTAAAAAATAACTAATTGGTGAATGAATTGATCTATTGTAATCTGAATCTCTAATAGTATTTATTCTATTTTCAATTGGAGATTGATTTCTTTGTGTTCTTTGATTATTTGAACTATGCAATCTTCTTTCATGATGATCAAGATGAATATGATGATTAATGCTATCATTCTGATTATATTCATTTTTATCTAAACTTTTATTGCGTACTTTCAATGAACTACGAACTCGACTGATTGATTTTGAAGATACTCTTCTAGGTTGTGACTAAACATAGAAAAGTTAACATAAATAAAACAGTAGGAAAAATGATCACATTTGAATGTATTGAATAAGTAATATTGCGCGAAATTCTTCCAATGTTATTTTATAGTAACTGTCATATATCTGATAGAGTTGAAAACCCCAGAATTTATGAAAAAACGTTTGGCTAATTTTCCATAATCTATTATACAAAAAAGATGGAAGTTTTAAGATATGAATACTAATTCGGCCTTCCCCCCCCAAAAAACACACAACTAAATCCAAATATCATCACTTTTAATTACTCAAGTCAATATAACTGATAAATGCTAAATAAACAGGATATTTCATATATTTGAATTTAATTGCATAAATAACACCATTTTTTCATGAATGAATAAAAACAAGTTTTGAAAATTGAAAATACTGCAAAAGAAAACAAAAAAACAAGGAACATCTTAGCTAAAAAAAACATTAATTTTTTTCAGGAAGGGGTTTTGTGCACATAATAGTGAATTAATAATTGAATTCATGAGTCATTTTAAGCTAGACCACCATGGGAAACCTGGAAGCACTGAACGGCCATTTCATCTTACTGTAGGACTCATCAAAAGTGCGCATCCACGATCCCGCTGCTCGAGATTCGAACCAGGATCAATCAGTCTCGCACTCTAACGTTTAACCTGTAGTTCACTGAGTCGGTATCCCACGGTGTTAATGTTTAACTTCAACCAGTTCAAGAAATCGAACGACACATCCACTGTTGTATTCAGTGAGTTACTATCTCACAACGGACCCGGTTGAACTACATTGGTGACGGATTCTCACAAGAACTACACGAAAAACCTCTTGGAGACCGTCACCAGTAAGCATATGTTGATTATAATCAGAAAGGGTTCTGTTCACAAAACCCCGTTCTGTTGTGAGATAGTAACTCAGTAAAGACAATGGTGGATGGTGGCGCAATTTCATGGATTGGTCTAAGTTAGACATTAAAACTGTTGAATGCCAGCTCAGTAGTCTACTGGTTTAGCGTTCGCACGCGAGACTGATTGGTCCTGGGTTCGAATATCGAGGGAGGGCGGGATCGTGGATGCGTACTGCTGAGGACTCCCATACTAGGAGGAAATGGCCGTTCAGTGCTTCCAGGTTTTCCATGGTGTTCTAGCTTCAACTGACTCATGAATTCAACTATTAAATTTATTTCTTTACAAATCATTCTTAGATCATACTTCTAAATGATGAAATATCATATTGAACATCTTTTTAGTAATACAAAGTAGAGACACGTTTATTCAACATTTGTCGTGAATTCTCGATGATAATACTTCTAGTTATCCAATAATTAAGTAAATAAACTAAAACAATAACAATGCGTTATTTTTTGTTATGAATAAAGAAATTTGGTGATAGGTGATTGTGAAAAATTAAAGTAAATTACTAAGATTTTAAGGTTGTTCACCAGACTAATTATTGATACACTTAATACTTTATATAATTCAGTAGTATTTTTGAAACTATTTAGATATTTGGGTGAATACATAATCAAATGTGAAATGAATTATTCAACGAATCAATAAAAAGTATTTAATTCCTTTTGGAAACTTATTTTAAAATAACTTTAGAGCTCTTAATTGCCAATTAATTTTTTTTAAATTGTGCAACAGAACTGAAAGTATTGTCACTAAGGTCATTATAAAAGTTTAGTTGCTAGTTAATTATTCTAAAAATATATTTTATTCAATGTTATCATACTTAATTATGATGAATGAACGTAATGATTTATAATTAAAAAAACAATCGGGTAAGAGTGAAAATGTTCAGTGCAAAAAGTGTAAAACATATACAAAAATAAGTCATTACATGAATCAATAACTAGTCCTTGCTTTTCTACTTCAATATAACCGGGGATTTCATAATGTTGAAACTAAATATTTGCTAATACTTATTGTACTACTTTTTTAGATCGTAATTTCAAAAGATAACAGTTACTCAATAGTGATTTAGTAAAAACTTCTAGAACTGTTGATAGTTAAAAACAATAAGCAAAAATCTCCTCTTCTTATTCTCCAAATCAGCTTGCACCATTTAATCTCATAAAAAAGCGGAATACAAAAGCTTTAAGTCATCTGATGAACATGTTGTCATTTGATCATAGTATTAGAATACGGTTTTTCTAATTTCAGTCAATGAAATCATAGGTATAAATGGCTTTGGGTAACTTTTATGCAATATCATAAAACATAAGTAGCTTAAAAATTTAGTCAGTTAAATTGCCATCTGATATATTATATGAAAATGCTCTCTACTACATGTAGGGATATATATACATAAATATATATACTTCTGTGTGAAACTGAGTTTGCACACTATCTTAGAGTATTCTACGTCAAATGAATGATATTTGAATCTTAAACAGATTTATAAATATTCAACAATACAAACAGAATCATTAGATGACTTATCTAAGAAAATGTTAGATAAAATGTAATTGATCAAACGAAACATATGATCTTCATATACTTAAATGGTATTTTCTTATGAGATATATTACGACTTAAAATAAATACCATAAAAGAGTTTGATAAATTTTATAGGAGTTTTCTTCATAACTATTCAGGTTGAAACATTTTCAGATTAGAATTTAAACAAGCACATTGATATTCATCATTCGAGTAAAAGATTAACATTCAATCAATATAATCATATATCTACCTTCAATTACCTTGTTTATATCAAATTTTCAGTAAAAAGAAAATGCAAGTTAGTTAGAAAAAAGTGGAAAAGGCGCATTGAATTAAATATTGACTAACGGACATTATTATTTAAGTATGCCGATACTTTCCAGAATCTTACTTTTATTGTAAGTTACAGATTATTATCCCAGGAAAAGTAGTAATACCACTGACGAAACTATTAAAAGTTAAAAACATGGCTATTAGTGGAATCCAGGACGCGCATTTCGTCCTACTCGGGACTCATCAGATGGATGCCAGGGTCCTGGATTTCATTGCTAGCCATCATCATCGCTAATTATCATGCTTTTGATTTAAGGCAATATCAAGGCAATTCGCATAAGATGCACATATGCGAATAAGAGATTGATCAATTAAAGTCCTATATATCAATAGGAAATGTTTATACAACCACTACAAAATGTATTAACAGTTAATTTAGTCGAAGTTGCAGTACAATCAGGAGACTAATGCATAAAATACTGGCTTAAATAACAGTTTAATATGATTTGACACTGTCGACAGTTAGCTAGTAACTTTTTGTGAAAAAAAAGTGACAACAAAACAGCGCTGTCAAACGTTCAACCTGAAATCACTGTACATTATTTGAATCTTAACCACTAAATAAATAAAGATTAAATTATTAATGTAGTTTTTATTTAAAAGAAAATATGTTCTGTGTAAACAACTAAGTTGTCACTGAATCAACGTTTCAATGATGACATTGATATTAGATGAAGTTAATGATAAATTTCAGGCTAATAACATGTGAAAATCAAAAAAAAATCATTGGATCCCAGTTCAATGAGGTAAATATGTTCTATTTGTTTCCCGAGACTTGAAGTTATCATGTCAAATTATCTATGTGTCACTACTATTGTATTAGGGATTTCTGAACTAAAATAAAATGATTATCATAGACTACTTAGTTTTCAATAACTTTTCAATTGTTATCAGTTCATTCACTTTTTATTATTACGCAACATTTCAATAAAGACGATAAAAAAAAATCTCTCTGGCAACAGACAAGTACAACATTAAACAAAAGTTAAAAAATGTGTAAATGACTTTTTCCTTTTGTAAATACTACTTTTTTTAATATCAAAAATCTAAGTCAATAATAATTAAATTCATTTGAATTATTATAATTATTCATCAATCATTAGTTACTGATAATTAATTCAGTTAGTCAGTAACAACGTAGAACTTAGTACGTGCGTACACCAGTTCGATTTGCCATACCACATTAGCACAGAGATACAATTATCAATCCAAATCCCATAGTGGTAGATGTAGTAAGAGTATAAGCAGTAATGGGAAACATTAGCGTTTGGAAATGCTAATCAATCCAAAAAATCAACTAGATGAGATCATTTCATACTGCTGGACATTTTTCTAGTTAATTCCTTAAATATGATGATCTATAATATGTTACTAAATAGTAAAGGTTTTTTCTTACCATATGAGTTTATCTTACTGGACAACACTGTTTATAGTAATTTATTAGGACTAAACATGAATAAAATCCAATTAGTATAAAACACTACTCCATATGTGGTGCGTGCTACTTACATTGACATAACTAGTATATAACGCGAGTCAGGAATGCAATGTCTGGCAGCAGAAGATTGGGAAGATCAAGAAGGAAGAACGGGAATAGAAAGCAATTAGTATAGAAATGCAAGAACAATGAAGTCCGAGACAGTTATTGAACATTTTGCAAATTAAATATTATAGTATAATTTTTCTATTTTAGCAAGTAACTCTGTAATGTTGTGCCAAATATGATTCGATTGTCCTCACCTGTGTTCTCCTTCACTACACATATACAGCGGAATTTTGATGAAAGTATGATGAATTTGCATAAAACAGTTTGTAATAATTTCTATTGATAAATAAGGTAAATAACTGAGTATACTAAAATTACCTTAAACAAAATACCTCATAACAATTATGTTTTTAGTTTGTTTAAAACTCAATCAGGTGATACTAGGTTATTAGCCTGTGTATTACCTTTGACTTTGACGATAGTTTTGAAGAACTAGATAAGTAATTGAATCTTTGCCGGTCAGAATGATTTCCTGTAGTATTTTTATTTGTCCGTTCTTTCTTTCACTGTACAACGTTTTTGTTGGTAATTTGTTTTGATTTCTTGAACATATTAAATCATGACTAAAACTTCTGTCTGAATACCGATTCATTTGTTTATGGTCTGTTAAGCAGCTGTTTATAACTTTACATCCAGTAACTGACTGACATCGATGAGAATTCGGTCTAAAATCTTTTTTTTTCTCTTGAGTTACAGACTTTTTTAATTTAAATGTATGTAAATTTTGATTATCATTTTCTGAAGTAACCAAACATTCTTCAGCTTGATCTTTATTCTCGTTATTTTCCCGATCTGAAATAAGCGTAGCACTGTCTAAACAATCAGTATCATGATCTTTAATTAATTGTTGTAATGAATCAAGGCTAGAATTTAACTTTTTACGTGTTAATGAATTGCTGCTAAGATTTGACATTGAACAATGTCTTAGTAAAGCTTTGTTTTGTTTACCACTGCCATGATTTTTAACAAAACATTGATGACATTTAACATGGTTTTTATAGGTGTTTGAATATGTTATATCCGTTTTCAGATCCGTTGTAATCCTATGGGTTTATTCACCGACTTCATATCAATAAATTGGGTTTCTTTATCTTCTAGCTCCCCTGATGTATTATACCGTTTCATATAGTACGTGGTTGGTTTCTTCCCATTTAAACACTTTTCTGGAAGTGGGTTTTGAAGGTGTTTGGATACCAGTCGACTATTTTCCTTTAAATTGTTTGTAGAACTTACTTTATCATCAATGAAAGGCATTACATGTTCAATAGTAGTTTGATGATTCTGGTAGGAATTCATACATTCTTTTGGTAATAAAACTGAATTAACTGGAATTTTCTGTCGTTGTTGTTGTTGTTGTATATGCGGTTTTTCTTTGTCATATGGACTTAAAAATATTGGCCCTTGAATTGGTTTACCATTGGCATCAGATAAATAATAAGAATTAAAACATTTAATATTTGAATTATCTGAAAGTGTTTCAGATAAAGAAGAAAGTGGAATTTTCGGCGTTGGTGTTACAGTATCAGGACTGTTTGAAATATCAGTTTTATAAGTAATTGATTTTAATTCCAAGTCTGATGTATCATCAATTGTTTCACTTTCAGTTTCAAATTCTTTTTGATCAACTGAAGATTCCGATGAACTAACTGATTTAATAAGTACCGGTTTTAAATGATAAATTATTGGTGAAAATTGTGATTTCAACTTTTGTCGTCGTTTCATAATCGAATTAATTTGTAATGAATGAACTTAAATTTGTTGAAAAGAAAACAAATACTGATCGAATTCTCTAATTTGAATTTTCTTTCATTGTTGCTTTTGTAGAAAATAAAGTTATATTCCTTATAGTGATATACCAGCATATATATATATGTATTATGAAAAAGTGATAAGTACGTTAATTTAAAGAAAAAAGGGGTAATAGAATAAGTTAATTATAAATGATTGATTCTATTCTAATCCAATCATCAGATCATTTGATGTTGTTATTGTTACGATTGGATATCTTTTCATACTGTTCAATTTCATATTCGATATCATTTTAATAGTAAGATAGAAACGAATTCGATTAGATAGATAGAGGATAGTTAACGTTTTATTAATCTAATATAAATACAATACAATTTCTTTTAAAATAAGAAACTTTGTATTTTACATATATCTGAACATGTTAGTAATATACTACTTATTTTCAATTTAATAATTTAACTCATGAGTCAATTGAAGTTACACTACCATGAAAAACCTGGAAGTACTGGACGACCGCTTCATCCCAGTATGGGACTCCTTAGCAGTGCGCATCCACGATCCCACCTAGCGGGATGTGAACCCAGGACCGGTCAGCCTCGCGTGCGAACGCTTAATCTGTGGACCAATGAGAAAGCATCCAACAATGTTAATGTCTAACTTCAATTCATATAATAAAAGATTAAAGCATGAATGTTCAAGGATATACTTAGTTGAAATAAAGAGTTTTAGGAAATCTTGAGAAACTTTATTAATAATTAAGAATAAGTTGTTAGATTTCCCATAGAGAAATTTAATTGATGTAAACAACTGAAAGTATGATGTAATCAAATTAAATGTTAATAGGTTGTTTGATGGCTGAAACATATCAGCATGATGTATCTGAAATTTTCAAGAAACTTATGCTCCATGTAGAACTTAAATCCAGGTTCATTGTACGACGGAGATATCTACAATTGTTATTAACAATGTTCTTAAAATTTAAGTCTAATTTATGAGAATATTCAGCGATATGCACACATACAACTTACGTACGTTGTTTTAAATTAATGATAAATAAGTTTGTTTGTCTTTATATCGATGAAATGGCCTATAGTTTACTAAAACTCAGACAATATGGCTCACTAATGTTGTAATGCATGGACAAGCCAAGTCCATATGGAATATATGTATATGCACATATATTATTTATTTATTTGGTGTGAACACACATCGTATATGAAATATATACACTTAGTCTTCAGTCTTCCATCTGCAACTGTTGTGTTCCGCAACTCATGCTAGTTGTGAACTGCTTTCTACAAATTCTCTTCTGGTCTCACAATATTCCAAACTCTCTGTGCGTTTGACTTCCTCAAACTCATGTCTTCGGTTGTCGATTGTAATAACTCCCATGGAGTGCTCCGTAGCAGTATTATTAGTAGCTTCCATCACACCATGATTTCATCAGCACCATTGCAAACGATTTTAGGCCGTATCATTCAAAGTCTCTAACCATTGGTTGCGATGATTACGTGGGCCCCAACCAGGCATTCTGTGCCCATGAAATTGGCTAATTCCAGTTGTCAGTGATGTCATGGACTGATGCTGTGTTTTGGTATGGCCACCCATAGCTTTTATCCAGACTGCTGCTGAAACAGAAAAGATCGTTATTCAAACTATTTAGAAAGCAACTTTTATCACGAAGTTAGTTGGAAACCTTTGAAAACGAAGAAGAATCCACCGATCATCAATTCTTCGTTTTAAACCTTCTTGCAGCGCACAACGATTTGACACTCAACTGGAACCAGTGATATGGACTTATGTGTTAAGTCCAACATATTTAAGCCAAAGAATTGCCTAACGTCTTCAAATTCAGTCACTTTGCCACATAGTATCACCTGTATCTAACGATGATGGCACTGATAAAATACTATTTAGATACCCTTATGATTGACTCTATACACTAAGGGGTTTCGTTAGAACGTATGAAAAATCTATTTTGAAGCCATTCTCGGTTGATGTCAATATTTTGTGGTTTTTGCTGATTTACAAACTGACGCTGGTTCATGATGGAAATTGCCGGTAGGAAAATCAAGTACTATAAAAAGACAGAATAATGAAGATGGATGGTTTCTTTTTGTTCACTTACAACAAACCACTCCTTCAGAGTACAGAAAGTGCATGCAACATTGAAAATATGTCTACTTCTCTGGACTACAGATTTCTAAAAAACTGAAGTTATTGTTAAATAAATTCATTTGTATGATACAGTTAGTTTTCTTCATTTGATATGAATATTTTAAACAAATAGAAAATTAAAAAGAATATGTGGTGTTGGTTTCTATGTTAAGCCCACATAGCTTATTCTGGTTTCCTGACAAGCCAATTTATTCATTCTTCTTGAATCACGTCTTGACCTTTGCTAATTATTCGCTTATCAACCGTGACTGTTTTTATATGATCGTATGTTCGTGCACTTGTATCCTATTCATCATATGTATGTAACTTATTTTTGTTCGTCTATAACTATTGATTCAAGCTTGATTAAACCGACTTGGCCCAATCGCCTTCTCGATTGCGCGTCATTTTGTTTTGGTTCACTTGCCGATCAACGATTGTACGAAATAAACGTATTCAAAAACTCATCCTCGTATTTAACTCATTTAATTCCGTTATTCACAAACGCAATATAAGTCGATGGTTGTAGACGAGAATAGCAGAGTTGTATATTTCGATAGCAATTACAAACGATCTAGCTGGTCAGATATAGGATCACTAAAGTAATGAGCCCGACGTGATATGACTGCATAGTTCGAGTTTTTCATCGATTAATTCAGATACTTATGCCTTCTCCATCGCGCGTCATTTAATTTGTTTCGCTTTCTCCTCTTCGCTTCCTTCGCTACGTCTCTCTGATTGTCTATTCTGACCAACGACTGTACAAAATATACGTATTCAAAGTCCATTCTCATTTTTAACTTATTTAATTCCGTTATTCACAAACGCGAGTTAAGTCGATAATAATATACGAGGATTTCGATAACAATCAGAAACGATCAACCTGGAGTCAGATCTCGAGTCACTAAAAATCCTATGAAACAAAAAATAGACGTTTCTGGTAAATCCAAGTACATTATGGTCTCGAAAAATTGTATGCATTACTGCAATTACCAGATAAGAAGTGGAATAAAGATGAAATACACATCATGCAAACATTTTAACACAACAGTAAGATTTAAGGGTACTTCAAAATGCGTTTCCTTAGTAATTCCTGTAAACAAAAAACATAAAACGATTTTGATGTTCTAGAATTTATGGTAATACCCGAATAATTAAATGTGATCTCTAACAAACTAGTCTCCTATAGGCTAAGTTTTATGACATATCCTACTAATCTTCATATTCTCCCTGATACACTGTGTTATATCTGAACCAAGAATAAATGAATGGTGACTGCTAGGAATTATTTATGGAATATCATTCCATGTATTCTGATTAGATTATTATTATTATTATTAAGTAACTAGATTATATGTATATTTGTATTTCTGTTATCACAAGCTTTCATTTGACCTACTGGCCACTGTTATGTGATTTATTATTCTTAATTTATTTCCAATCTATTAGTTACAGCCTCCTATACTCACAGCCACTCTTTGCTTGATCTTGTATAGTTTTTATTTTTTATTTTATGGTGTGATGGGGTCTGGTCTGATTGTATATAAACTCAGTATGTCTGAACTATATTATTCATATAGCGGAGGCCGATATTTTCATTCTGGACTGGACGGGTTGGGCTAGAAGTGAAGCTTCTATGTTGGGGACAAATATGGATTAAGAGTTGGCTCGAAGCTGCTAATGCTGGTTGACTTGTCATTGGTTTAACACAGAGAGAAGGTTATACAATTCGGTATTCTGATTAGCGGTTTTTTCACTTGATAAATTGACGGGGGCATATGTCATAACACACTGGAAATCAAATCTTTCTTAAATCTTCAATTATGTGTCAGTTAGTATCCAAAGGATTACTTAAACCTAGATATCATTATAAGATGTGGGTTAGAGATTTTTTACATTCTAGTGACAATAATGTAAATATGTTCGTTAAAACCCTAACCACTTACATAAATAATGCTCCTAAAAGGTACTTTTCCTTCAGTTTCATTATCTTTTGATTTGAGGTTTTATACAGTTGAAAACATGTTTTGTGGAAAAGGATGTAAAAGGTGTTCAGTAAGAAGAATGATAATTGACTCCAACCTCCTACCATTTGAGAAAGTATGTGAGGTTGAAATTAACTAAGAATAGTAGGGTACTGCAAACTTGATTAACAGAATTCATGCAGAACTAAAGATCAGATGAGCATGATGTTACTAGTCGGTAATCAAGTATTTTATATATTTCATTCTCACAGTTAGCTATTAGTCTCTCGAAAACTCAATGATAATGTCTTTGACTGTAAATCTATGTGATATGACTTCAAACCCCACAGAAATTATCGGTCCATTCAAAACTGAAAATAAGTTGTCTTGATAAATGTTACCTAAAACAAAATGTAGATTCAATGCTATTTGCGAATTAGCTTTCATTCATTAACTGATCATGCATAATTCAATAATAGTTGAAAGCAACGTTTTTATTGAAATCATTAATTTTAACTAAAACTACGTTTAACTAATACCGGTTTAACAGTATAATCATTATTGTAGCCATTTATCAACTAACAAATTTGTAATTTAATCATTAGTTTGTTTTTCTTTTCTTTCTTTTTTTTTCTTCTTTGATCAGGTAAATGACTATTATTATTGAAAAGATTTCAGGACATTAATAAACTGAGCAAAAACGTATTATAAACGTGGTTGAATAAATAAAAATTCGTAAATATGTATGTTTATATATACATATGCCTATTTATTTGTGTGGTCTTATATATGGAACTAGTTATATTTAAATGTCAAATTTAATTATGTGTTTTATTAATTAAATGTTCAATA